TTCCTCTAGAACCACTCCTGGTACCAAAATCTGTGTTAGGGATCTCCAGAGAGACAGAACCGATAGGAGATGGATAGACAGATGAGGGGGGATTTATTAGGGGAATTGATTCACATGATTGTGGACGGTGATGAGCCCCATGATATGCCATCTGCAAGCTGGAAAACCAAGAAAGCCAGTTGTGTGGCAGCATGTCCTGCAGGATGGCTGCCTTGGGAGAGGCTGTCACCGTTTCCTCAGGCACTGCAAGGTCAGTCCCCTCTGGAAAGGCCAATACTACTGGGGATTGGGAGGCCACTTCAGCTGACAAAGTGACTCGTCAGAAATTAGGGCCTCAACATCCCACACGTCCTTGTCCCAACTTACAGAATCCCATTATTTCTCAATCAGTGTCCTCCCTTTAGTGCCCTGCAAGGCTGAGGGTTCAGCTTGTGTTGTAATGCAGCCAGTTGCGTAATGAGGACTCTTTCACGCTCTGCAATTTCAGGCCTGTGACAAGGGAAGATTCTCCTTCAGGGCATTCCTGGAAGCTCTTGGGTTATTTCTGTGGAGCTTGAGCTGGAAGTTAGAATCACTGAGCTCATCCTTTCCTTTCATCACTTTGTCCCGCGGCATTAGGAGCATCCAACCAATGTCTTTGTATTTCTCAGTTTGCCACACATGTTTGAGAGTGTCATTTACAAAGTCACTCGGTTTCTTGCCTCTTGTAAGTGGTTGATTAGGACTATCCAATGCAGAAATGTGTATCTCTCTATAAGCAGTTCGTGCCATGAACTATCAGTGCTCTCTGGACTATTGGAAGTAGAATCCTTAGCATTTTTAAGTCTAATCAGATTAGAGAGCCAATTCTTATAACCCCAAAACCAATTAAGGAAACTCAGCCTTAACATTCTGTTCCTCTAGAACCACTCCTGGTACCAAAATCTGTGTTAGGGATCTCCAGAGAGACAGAACCTATAGGAGATGGATAGACAGATGAGGGGGGATTTATTAGGGGAATTGATTCACATGATTGTGGAGGGTGATGAGCCCCATGATATGCCATCTGCAAGCTGGAAAACCAAGAAAGCCAGTTGTGTGGCTCAGTCCAAGTGTGAAGGTCTGAGAATTTGGGAGCTGCTGGTGCAAGTCCTTGAGTCCGAAGACTCAAGAGAACCAGGTGTTCTGAAGTTCATGGGCAGGAGAAGGGCGTCCTAGCTCCAGGAGAGAGAATTCACCTTTCCTCTGCCTTTTTTCTCCATCCAGGCCCTTAGCTGATTGGATGGTGCCCACCCAGAGCGGGTGAGGGCACATCATTTGCTATGGGTTGAATGTGTCTCTTCCAAAATTCATATGGAAACTTAATCCCTAGTGGGGTGGTATTAAAAGGTGGGGCATTATGGGAAGTGGTGGGTTACGAGGTCTCCATCCTCATGCATGGATTAATGCTCTTATAAAAGAGGCTGTAAAGACTTTATTCTTCTTTGCTCTTCCACTGTTCTCCATATGAGGACACCGCATTCATCCCCGCTGGAAGCTGCAGCAACGTAGCGCCATTCTGGGAGCAGAGATTGGAGAATTCCCCAGACATCGAACCTGCCAGCCGCATGGATTAATGCTCTTATAAAAGAGGCTGTGAAGACTTTATTCTTCTTTGCTCTTCCACTGTTCTCCATATGAGGACACCGCATTCATCCCCGCTGGAAGCTGCGGCAACGTAGCGCCATTCTGGGAGCAGAGATTGGAGAATTCCCCAGACATCGAACCTGCCAGCGCCTTGTGCTTGGACTTCCCAGCCTCCAGAACTGTGAGAAAATAGATTTCTATTCCTCATAAACTACCCAGTCTCAGGTATTTTTGCAGCAGCACAAATGGGCTAAGGCACTTAGTCCACAGATATAAGTGCCAATCTCTTTTGAAAACACCTTAACAGACATACCCAGACTGGTCAAGTTGACACATAAATTAACCACCATGGCTGGTAAAGCATTACTTGTGGGTGTGTCTGGGAGGGTGTTTCTGGAAGAGACTGGCATTTGAATCAGTGACTAAGGAGGATCTGCCCTCACCAACCTCACGAATGTGGGTGGGCACCATTCGATCAGCTGAGGGTCCAGATAGAACAAAAATCCAGAGGAAAGGAAAATTTGCTCTTTCTCTCTCCTGGAGCTCTGTCACCCTCCTCCTGCCTTTGGACCTCAGAGCTCCAGGCTCTCTGGCCTTTGGACTCTGGGACTTGCACCCGCAGCCTCCTGGGTTCTCAGGACTTCACCTTGGACTGAGAGTGACACCATCAGCTCTTCTGGCTCTGAGGCCTTAGGACTTGGACTGGGCCACACAGCCAGCTTCCCTGGTTCTCCAGTGTGCAGACAGCCTGTCACGGGACTTCTCAGCCTCCATAATCATGTGAGCCGATTCCCACAATAGATCCCCTCTTACATCTATATGTACAGGCCGCCCTCTGTGTCCACGGGTTCTGCATCCACGGCATTGAAGGCCTATGATAAGGGACTTGAGCACCTGGTGGGTTTTTATATGCACGGGGGCTCCTGCAACCAGTCACCTGTAGATACAGTGGGACGAGGCATATCCTACAGGTTCTGCTTCTCTGGAGAACCCCAGTACCTGGATTTACACCTTTCGAGGGACAGTGACAATTGCCCCTGCCACTGCAGCTGGTCTCTGGGCCACGCCTGACACAGCCATTTCCTTCCTCTGTTGCCTGCTTGGTTGTCCCCACTCCATGGGCACCTCTGCTGGTCAACTGGCCTTCCTGGTGGGCTGGCTGAGACCCTCATCAGTGAGGGGTGTGAGGCCCTGGTCACCATTCCCTTCTCAGGCCATGGCCTCTGCTCTTGTCCACTCTCTGATAAAGCAGGCAGGAGGACACCAGGACCCCCTGCTCCCCACCAGTGGACCGGCCAAGCGCCAAATCTATTCTACCCTGCCCCGTTGGGTAATAGCAGCCCCACTACTTCCTGAAGGCCATGGTCAGTCTCCCCTGCCAGTTTGGGGACTCCTTGTCTGGCCTGCTGGCCTCTGGGAACAAAAGGACTCCAAGTGATGAGGCATCAGCTGCAGCCTGAAATTCTGCAGGTCTCCTATCTGTGCACTGGGGGGACAGTCCTCCCCGGCATCCAGGACCTCTGGCCCGGGCAGCCCAGAGTAGAGGTGGAGGGGATGGCAGGACCAGCCCCCAGGGATCACTGGGAGTGAAGGTGAGAGAGGCCACGCCTGCTGCTGCCGCCCTTGTTGAGGATATAGCACCCTAAGGTGGCTGTTGATGCAGGGTGATTACTGCATTTCACAGTGTGACACCTCACCCTTGAACAGTATCACCCCCATGCTGGGGCCTCAGCTGAGCCTTCAAAAGCCTGCTCCAGTGTCAGGGGCTGGCTGCTTCTGAGTGGTATGGTCTCCGATGGGACCAGCATGCCTCCAGATGGCTGACTGGCCATAGCGAGGACTCAGCAGCAGCCTCTGTTGCAAGCTGATTGGACATTCAGCACCAGTGGCAGCCTTGGTGGGCAGGGCTGGGCTGCTGGCTCTGTGGAGAGCTTCTCTCTCTGTCACCAAGGCCACTCCATTCATGTGCTCTGGGGGCCAGCACTTGGGTGGCTGAGGACAGAGGCTGGCTGAGGTCAATGGTTGAGGCTATTCTGTGTAATTGGTTGCCTAGTGCCTCCCCTGGTGGACACTCTGGTGGACGTAAACATGTGATAACAGGATCTTCACCTCTCATGGCCACTCCCACAGGTTCATGCCTCCCCCCAGTGGGTGGTCAGCTGGATAACGACGCCCCCCTGAAGATGTCCAGAGCTCCTTCTTGATTGGGATGGAATAGAACTCATCCACCAGATGACTGCTCGAGTGGGGATGTCACGGCTGGCACAGCAACTGCAACTGGGCCACTGTGCAGGTGCATTTTGCATTAGTCATATATCTCTATAAAGGGATTTAGTGTAAAGAATTGTTTCGTGTTATTAGGGAGGCTGCAAAGACCCACAATCTGCCATCTACAAGCTGGAGACCCAGGAGAGCGGAGGGTGTAAGTTCCAGTCTGAGTCCAAAGGCAGGAGGAGACCGAAGTCCCGGCTCGAACACTGTCAGATGTGAGAGCAAACTTTCTCTAGTTCTGTCTTTTTGTTCTATCCAGGCCTTCAGCAGGCTAGGGGAGGCCCACGCGCTTGGGGGAGGGCCATCTGCTTTACTCAGTCCACAGATTCAAAGGCTAGTCTCATCCAGAAACACTCTCACAGACACACCCAGACTCACAATTAGCCAAATATCTGGGCAGCCCATGGCCCAGTCAAGCTGACACGTAAAACTCACCACAAGTTTACAGTAGTCTGCCAGCATCCTCCAGGAAATAGCGGCTGGGGAGGCTGGTGATGATAATCGCCCCACCTGCAACCCTCGGGTTTTTCAGAGTGGCCTTAGTCTCTGCCATTCCCCCCAACGTGTGTTTTTATTTTTGTTTTACTGCCTTGGCTCAGGTGGGGGGCAGTTTCAGAGGCTTCTGCTTGGGAACACTGTGATAGTCTTTACCTCACAGGACGAAGGACCTACGCAGCGGTGCTGCCAACTACCCAGGTTGTCTGAGTGTACATTCAAGGTCTGGGGGTGAGCAGTGGTCTGGGAACCCCGTGGACTGGCTCCACTTTGCCTGGCCTCTGTCCACCCTCCTCCAAAGGGGTCGTAATGATGCCTCCACCCCTGCTGTCAAGGTGCTCTTGGCCACTCAGTCCAGCAGCCCTTGCCATGTTGGGCCTCTGCCCTTCACCTCGAGTTTGATTACTGAAGTGCCTCTTCAATGGAGCTGACCGTCACCACATGCTCTTGCAGTGGCATGGCAGGGGCCCTCCCCCTGGGGACCTGACCCCTCCTCTAATCCGTGGCATCTGTGTCTGAAAACTGGCTCAGGTCCAGAGACTGGACATGAGATCATGCCTCTTTACTGGGCTGTGTTTGAGTCTGCCAGGACTACAAAACAAAGACCACGGACCGGGTGGCTTAAACAGACATTTATTTTCTCATAGTGCTGGAGGCTCGAAGTCTGAGATCCAGGTGTGGCAGGACTGGTTCCTACTGAGGCCTCTCCTTGGCTGCGAGACAGCATCTTCTCCCTGTGTCCTCACGTGGTCATCCCTCTGTGTGTGTCTGTGTCCTGATCTCCTCTTCTTATAAGGACACTAGGCAGATTTGATTAGGGCCAACCGTATAACTTCACTTTAACTTAACCACTGTTTTAAAGACCCTATCTCCAAATAAGGTCACATTCTGCAGTACTGGTGATTAAGATTTCAACATATGAATTTGGAGGGGACACAGCCCAGCCCGTAGCAGGGTGGCTGTTCTCCTGAGCAATGATGCTTGATTTCTTTCGACCCTCTGGGTGAGTGATACCTTGCCGGCTGCCCATCCATCTTGCCCTGGGAATGCCAGTTCTCTGCCAGTCAGGTGCCCCAGCTCCTAGACCATGCTAGCTGCTCCCTGTGACCCACACCCACAGCTTCTGAGTGTGAACTGCTGCCTCTGGCCTCTGCTATTTTGGGTCCCATTATCCCACTGCTGTCAGGGTGTCCCGGTCAGAAAAAGCACCTCCTGCCACCAGCCCAGGGGGTTGGCCTCTTCTCTTGATGCCAGCAACCCCCTCACTAGGGCATCTGTGTTGCATCAGTAAATTGTCCTTTGGGGCCTCCCATGGCACAGAGCTAGCTGGTGGGGTTTCTAGCTGTGGCAGATGTCCAGGTCCTAATCCCTGGAACCTGTGCATATAATCTCCTATGGAAAAGGAGACTTTATAGATGTGAATAAGTTAAGAGTTTTTTTGAGATGGGGAGATGAGCCCGGAGTGTCTGGGCCCCATGCAATCACCAGGGCCCATAAGGGGGGCAGAGGAGATTTCACCACAGAAGGCAACGTGAGGATGGAGCAGGGAGAAATGCTGGCGGTGCCTGCACTGCTGTCTTGGAAGATGGAGGAAGGGCCCTGAGCCAAGGAACGCAGTGCTGGAGCTGGAAAAGGTGTGGGAAAAAACATCCTCCCCTAGAAGCATCAGAGGGAACATGGCCCTACTGACATACTGATTTTAATCTTTTGGCCTCCAGAACTGTAGGAGAATCCACTTCTGTTGTTCTGAGCCACCAGGTACATGGTGATTTGCTACCTGTTACAGCAGTAGTAGGATGAGGTAATATCCAAGCTGGCAGCCCCACTTTTCTGAATGCTGGTGCTTTCACCCCACTTAGTGTTATGGACTGAATTGTGTACCCTGAAAATTCATATGTTGAAGCCTTAACTCCTAATGTATGTATTTGGAGGTAGTGCCTTTAAAGAGGTAATTAAATTAAAATGAGGTCTGTAGGGTGGTCCCTAATCCCACAGGACTGATGTCCCTATAAGAAGAGATTAGGACACAGATACACATAGAGGGATGACCATGTGAGGGCACAGGGAGAAGACGCTGTCTGCAAGCCAAGGAGAGAGGCCTCGGCAGGAACCAGCCCTGCCACCTGGATCTCAGACTCCCAGCCTCCGGGACTGTGGGGCAGTAGATGTCTGTGGGTTAAGCCGCCCACCTGCAGTGCTTTGTTGTGGCAGCCCGAGCCAACGCATGCACTTGGTATGAGCTCTTTGCCCCCAGGCTTCTAAGCACCAGTCTAGCAATGATTTAGCACTGTCTTCCAAGAACCTTGTGCAGGGATTAAATCCTGTATAACAGGGGTGCTCTGGTGCTGACACATTGTCCCTTCTCCAACTTTATTTTCTTTCCTCATGATCCAGCGTGCTCAGGATCTGACTCCCATATACCTCCAGGTCCTGACTAGGTCCTGAGCTTCTATGTCTGGTCCTTGTCATGTCTTAACCAGCCCAGAACTTCTGGAAGCTTGGGGACTGAGTACCTTGTTCCTGAAGGGGGAGGTTTGGAGGAATACCACATCATTACAAAGACAGAGGCACATATGATGGTTAAATTCATGCGTCAACCTGCCTGGACCACAAGGTACCCAGACATTTAGTCAAACATTATTCTGGGTGTGTCTGTGAGGGTGTTTCTGGGTCAGATGAACACTTGAGTCAGTGGACTGAGTAAAGTACGTGGCCCTCCCTAATGTGGGTGGGCCTCATCCAACTCACTGGAGGCCCAGATAGAAGAGAAAGTCTGAGTAAGATGGAATCCTTCTGCCTGACTGTTTGAGCGAGGGCACTGGCTTTTTCCTGCCTTCAGGCCAAAATGGAAACATCAGCCCTTGCTGGGTCTTGGGCCTGCCAGCCTTCGGTCTGGAACATGTACCGTCTGCTTTCCTGGCTCTGGCTTGCAGACTTCAGATCTTGGGACTTGTTAGCCTCTACAATTGTGTGAGCCGATTTCTTATGAAAAATCTCTTCCTACATATATATATATATATACACACATCCTACTGGCTCTCTGTGTCTCTGGAGAACCCTGACTAATGTGCCATGTCCTTGGAATTGTTCCAAAGAGTCTGATGTTAGCATGCGAGCTGGTCCAATAGATTTCACCTACATCCTTGGAGCTGGGTGTGCAGGATCTGGACAAGACCCGCTCACGCTCATCTCCTCAAACCTAATTCATGCATCTATCCCACCCAGTGACCCACCCAACACCACGACCTCTCAGGCTCCTCGTGTCCCCATGTCCAGCGACCTGCACCTCCACCACCGTGCCCATCGCTACCTCTTAGATCCTTTCAACCTTGGAACTGCTTCATCGCTGAGATGTTAAATCTGAACCTCCCACCACTTCCAGTCCTTCCAGCTCCCCCGTGTTTTCCCGCCTCCCTGCTTTGCTGTGAGTGATCTATTTTGCCACTACTATCTGCTTCCTCTCGTCACTTCTTGACCTACCCAGCCGGGAATATCTGGTCCTTTATATATTTTTAAATTTTTATTGTTTTATTTTTTGGCAGCTGACTGGTGTAGGGATCTGAACCCGTGACATTGGTGTTATCAGCACCGTGCTCTAGTCAGCTGAGCTAAACACCAGCCCAGGCCCTTCACTTTAACCACACTCTTGCCAGTATCCTCTGCTGTTAGTCAGAATAGGCATCATTCTTTGCTGGTGGACCTGTTAAAACATGGACTGTCAGGTCCACCCCAGCACTTTTGGTTCGGGAGGTCTGGGTAGGACCCAAGAATCCACATTTCTGCCACCTTCCCAGGTGCGGCTGCTGGTCGGGACCGCTGCCCGAATCTGGGCCGTCTTGCAATAGTGAAGACACCGACGGCTCAGGTTCATTGTTCAGCTGGGTACTTTCTAGTGTGAGTTGAGGAGCTCTTCATCTCCTGACTTGGAGAACGCGTGGCCTTCAAGGTCCCGTTGGAAGGGGAAGGACCCTGCAGAAAGTGGCTTAAGTCACTTGCTCCCATACAGTATTGGTCAGAATTCACATGACCCCCACGTGACCACACTAGCCAGAGGGAGCCTGGGAAATGCGGCCTTTCCATTTGCCTAGGAGGAGACTGAGCAGTGAACACACAGTGCTGTCTCTTCTGCCATCCACCCCTCTGTCCACCACACGTAGAACACATCCCCTGCTGCCCGGAAGCCCACTCAGGCACCGTGTCCGTCTCAGGGCCCAGAATCTCTGAATGGTGAAAACATCGAGTTGGGATGTGCCTCCTCCTGCTCTGGCAACTTGAGAATTTAAAAGCTGACTTATTTGCCCCCCGTGACAGATGGTATCAGTGGCTCCAGTCCTTCGCCCCTTCTTGTATCCATGCTCCTGCTCTGTGACTTCGAAGTCCCCTCCCACTGTGGTGGACGGCTTTGCCATCGACTCTGTTCTCAGTCATGGGATTTGCTTTTGCTACCATCGTACAACATGCCAGGCCGGCCCATTAGAGGATGGGAGACGTAGAGCAGGGCTGCGTCTCCCTGAGGCCAGCCAAGATCTGCCGAAATGGGAACAAGACCAGCTAAGATCAGTCAAGCTGCACCCATGCACCTGAGCAGCAAACGCTTCCTGCTGCATGCATGGTGATTTATAGATATTTTTTGATTTAGGTTTCTTGTTATGGTAGCACCTTACTTCAGAGAACTTATTTCTGTATGAGCCCGGACACACTGGGCTACATTGTGGTAACAAATAAAGCCTCCAAACTGAAATGATGTGGAATTGATGTAGCTTCCAAGCTGCTGGAAGTGACAGCAGGCAGCAGAGACTGGACCCATGGTGACCCGTGAGATGCTGGGGCAGAACATGTGGTAAGAAACATTCGTGGTAACCTGGCAGGCAGGATACAAGCTGACTGAGCCAGCTGACCCAGGGAAGAAGTTGGAAAACACAAGTTGAATGCGTGTGTGGATGCCATCACTTCATTATGTGTGGAAGAAAGAGAGGACCTCAAGAAACAATGTCCAGTTTGCAAGCAGAAATGAAAGCAGATGGGGAGATGCATCTAGAAATTCAGAGCACTGAAAGATTGGAAAATCCAGTTGTGTCAGAGTTGGCATTCTAAAAAGCTCTGTGAGGTGAAGACCCAGTAAATGCCCAAGTTGAATCAAGTGATGCAAGGAAAAGATCAGAGTGGGACCCACTCGAGCCCAAGAGCCTCCTGACGGCTGCCGCTGGGTTCACAGAGAGGAACAAAAGCAAACAGATCCTAGCACTTTAGTTTACCGCATATACCACTAGTCAGGGCTTGCTGTGGTTTGAATGTTTGTGTCCCAATGTGATAGTCTTAAGAGATGGGGCCTTTAGGAGATGATTAGTCCGTGAAGTCTTCACAAAAGGAGAGGAGGGAGTGAGTGGGGCCCCTTCCAACATGTGAAGACTCAGCAAGAAAGCCCTCACCAGATACCAAAGGCTGGCACCTTGGTCTTGGACTTCCCAGCCTCCAGAACTGTGGAAATAAATTTCTATTACTCATAAGTTAGTCTGTGGTATTTAGTTATAGCAGCAGTGAATGGACTAAGACAAAAATTGGTACTGAGAATTGGGGTGTTGCTATAACAAATACCTGAAAATGTGGAAGCAGCTTTGGAACTGGGTAATGGGCAGAGGCTGGAACACTTTTGAAGTTCATGCTAGAAAAAGCCTAAATTTCTATGAAAGGAGCATGGAGGGCAATTCTGGGTGGGCTCAGAAGAAGAGAGAGAGGAAGCTTCAGGCTTCCTGGAGATTGTTTCAGTGGATGTGACGAGAATACTGGACAGACAGTAAAGGCTGTTCTGATGAGCTCTTAGATATGAGCAAGAACATATTGAGAACTAGAGAAGAGGCCACACAATTACAAAGTGGGAAAGGACTTGGCAGAATTGTGCTCATGTCCTTGTACTTTGTAGGAGGCAGAATTTAAGAGCAACAAACTAGGATATTTGGCAGAATAAATCTCTAAGCAAATTGTTCAGGGTGCTGCATGGCTTCTCTTAAATGCTTATAGTAAAAGGCAAGAAGCCAGAAACAAATTAAAGACCAAATTTATAATTAAAAGGAAAGCAGAACTTAAAGATTTGGAAAATCCTAAGCCTGGCATGTGAAAAATAAAAAAGCAGTTCAGGAGAGAATTCCAAGGCCGTAGCCAAGAAAATGTTTGATAAGGAAGTTAGTATAAAGCAGGAAGACATGTTATTCATCAAGACCATGGAAGAAGGACCTCAAAGACATTTCAGAATCTTCAAGGCAGGCTCTCCCATCACAGGCCCAAAAGCTTGGCCTTGAGGGCAGAATGGTTTCAAAGGAGGGGCCTAGGTTTCCCATGGGACCTTGGGGTTCACTGCTGAGCATCACCTCCAGTTTTTGTTTCTTTCTGCATTCCAGTGCAGCACTCCTGGGCTGCCTTAGCTTTGGCCCAATAAGGCCCTGGTATGGCTTGGGACACTGCTCTAGAAGGCACAAGTGGTAAACCTTGGTGCACGGAGTGCGCAAGCTATGGGGGCATGGCTGCTTCCACCTAGATTTCAATGAATGCTTTGAGAGCCCTGGGGCCCAGGCAGAGAACTACTGAAAGGATGGGGCTGCCACAGAGAGCCCTCCGTAGGGCAATGCTTAGTGGAGCCCTGGGAGCACGGCCACCCCCAGACCGCACACCCGTAGAGACACAAGTGTGCAACTCCAGCCTGGGAGATGTTCAGGTGCCCAACCCCCACCTGAGAGCTGCTGCATGGGCTGTGTCCAGCAAAGCCGTGGGGGTGGGACTGCCAGAAGCCTTGAGGGCCCAACCCCCACTCTAATGTGTCTGGAAGGCAGGACCTGGAGTCACAGAAAATTGTTCCCAAGCCTTCAGATTTAACACTTACCCTGTTAGGTTTGGGTTTTGGTGGTGGCCTGTTATCCCTTTCTTCTTTCCTATTTCTCCCTTTGGGATAGATATTGTTTTCCTATGCCTGTTTCACCATTGTATTTTGGAAGTACATAACTTGTTTGATTTCACAGGCTCACGGCTGGAGAGAAATTTGCCTCGGGATGAATCTTGAGTCTCACCCATATCTGACTTAGACGAGACTTTGGAGTTGGACTTTAAAGCTGATGCTGGGAAAATTAAGACTTTCGAAGCTATTGGGATAAAGTAAGTGTATTTTTTATGTGAGAAGATCGTGAATTTGGGGGGAGAGGAGGGGTAGAATGCTGTGGTTTGAATGTATGTGTCCCTCCAAAACTCATGTTGAAACTGAGTCTCCAATGCAACAGTATTAAGAGATGGGGCCTTTTTTTTTTTTTTCATTAAATTTTTATTTTGTCAATATACAATGTATATGATAAAAAAAAAA